CGCACAGCTCACTTTTGCGGATAGTGCACTTTCTTTTCAGTATGTGGGAGAATGCAGAGTCCTTACGCTGTCTCTGGCATCGATGGCTGCTCCCAACTCAAGCAGCCCTACAACGGATTCGGTGGCGCCGGTCTTGCTGGCCCAATGAAGTGGAGACAGGCCATTCTGTGATGTGGTCAACAGGGTGAGCGTTCAGCACATGTGCACAACATTGTCCAAGACGACAGCTCAACCAACAAACTGACAGGGTGACAAGATGCGCAAAACGAAGAGGCCAGTTCACACCCATCATGGTGTCATTAGCATATGTTAAGATATTCAAGCCTTCCACACCAAAAAATTTTACAATTGGGCTTTGTGCTCCACATCTTTGTCAGAGCGTTATCTACGTTTTTGTGTTGTTCCGCAATAAAAATGTTAAATTTTCTCTGCAAAAAAAGGGCCAAGCATTTCGTTACTATGCTGAAGGGTTTAACATCTTTTGACAAGTAGCATGCGCACTCCAGACATTCTGTGCAAAGGTTCGTACCTCTGTAGGGGCAGTATCTTGTCATTGGCAACACCAGTAAAATGACAACGGCGAGGACAAGGAAGAAAATTCAAAGGACTTGCATACAGCCATCATGAAAACTGCACCACTGTGTGTGAGCAAAGGAGAAATGGCCAGAAACAGTTGGCAGAAGGAGGACGGCGTGCATCACAACTGACCTTTCGATCTTTAGCTGTGAGGGCACCACAAGCCTGGGCCCCCACCTTCAGCAATGCTATGACACATTTGAAACGCCCGTGTGCAGCTGCCAACTGCAATGGGGTGTAGCCACTCTACACAAGCAGACAGCGATCAATGTCAGCATTCTTCAAACTGAGCAATGCTATCTTCCAATATCAGTTAGGTAGATTTGCTCATGCACATCTGTGATTAAACAGTGTGAGAGCAAATAGCGCAATCTGAATCTCAGTCACGGCGATCATGGCATCAGCAGACACCGCAATCAAGCTTTCATATCAAGTCCAGTGCACTTGAGGTGGTCTATCTTCACACACGAAGTAAACAGTGGTACTCCAAGTGCGGCAGCACTTGTCTGCAATTCAGTTGCCAGAAGGCACACAAACACATTCATAGTGCCCAGCTTAGCAGAACATCAGTGCAAGGCTGCTATTCGGTTGCCAAGAAAGAGCAGGCAACAGCCACATTCCCACTGCCCTGAACATCTCAGCCATGACTTGCTCCTGTGGTTCCAATAACACTGCAACGAGGGCCAAACCCTGCAAAGCACCCATGCATTTACAACTGCCAAGAGCGCTTCTTGTTGGTTTCACAACAAATGCCACTGGCACTGCAAACTTACTGAGTCCAACGCCTCAATTGTGTCACTGTCCTTTGCGAGTTGCACAACAGACTCAGCATCGCCACGTCGCGCTGCAAAGTGCAGGGCTGTCCTGCCGGCAACAACAGCAAACCACCCTCAGCTACAACTCTTTCCAATGCAACATAGACTAGTGAGTACTCAACAGCACTCAATGGTTCCAAGTTGTTCAAAATGTCCCCAATCATCACTCACCTCTTAAGCCTCTTTCATTGATCAATCCATGGCCTGCTGCCAAGCAAGGTGGCTTTGCAGTGGAATGATCGCATTTGTGATAACCCCAGTGAGACACATGTTGCAATCACCAAAACATTTCGAAAGCGATCGTGAATGTGAGCTGTTCCCGATCTCAAACAATAGGCGGGTACCATTGACATCATTCTGCCAGTTATTCTGCTGCATTCCATTTGCTATGTCCGCCAACAATTGACAAAGGTCGGTCCTTGCGCCCAGCTGGTGACAAAGGGCATAGTTCTAGTTTGTGCCATTGGTGCGACGCAATAGGGTGATGGAGCAACAAAGGTGCTGCTTTGATAATGCGATCAGCACGTTTCTGTGCTGACTTCTTCACACCAGCCAGCCAAACAGACTGCAACAATCGATCAAATTGCAGATTCCGGTGCTTGACTTAGTGGGTGGACTTGCGTCCTCCTGCTGGCAGAGACTGCTGGCAGAGTCTGCATTTTTCAGGACTGATATAGCATTCTCTCACCTTCCTGCATTCTTCCTTTTCTCTGCACACAAACACACAAACACACAACTCATCAAGGTGGCCAAGTGAAGACTGGACACAAGCCACAATGGTGTGCCAGCTGAATTGGAAACAGAACAGAGATTATTGCTATTATTTATTGATTATTATTGCAACTCAACAAATAGTTCAACCATGGCAAAATGCTGCTGCTACTGCGCTGTTGCACCACTGTGTTTCCAACGTCTTTTGAAGCGCATTCACCGTCAACACAATTCAGCATCATAACCCTGCACCACTATCAAGTTGCACTGTACAGATGTACCCCCGTGCAGCTGCGAGCACCTACAGCATCTCTGCGGCTTCCAGGTTACCCCTCTTCCTCGCAATGTCTGCTGGGGTGCCATCCAGGTGCCATTCTTTGTGCCCCTGCAACAGAACACAGCAGCTTTGGCAACTAATAGCAGATAATACCCTGCCTTCCACAGCTGGAGCAGCTGGAGGAATGCGACCCGTCTGGAACAATGTCTGGCACTCAACAAGATGCCTCAACTCGCCTCAGCACCACATTGAGTTCTCTTTGCAGCCTTGATGCCAAGGACGCAAAGTTTGTAAGTGCTTTCAAACTGTCAGAAGCCTAATCCCAACTCGATTGGCAACATTCAAGCAATTAAAGCTCTTGATGGAGCCGTTGGCAAGTTGATCCTCTGCACATTTGTTCGCCATTATCTGCTAATTTATGGTGCCCACCTTGGCATCGATGTCACACATTGCACCCTGCATGATGAGCAACCGAACTACAGATGTGTGACCTTCCGATGCAGCGCAGTGCAGTGCAGTGTAGCCACACGTCTGCACAAAAGTTCAAAACAACGATGAGACCACTGTTTTATTCCAAAATGCAACATCACATTCAAGAATCCGATAATGGACAAGCAGGGCACAGTGGCAACAACTCTACACAGTGCTGCAGATTACGGAACGTACAAACTGGCAGCAAATACAGAAGCAGTCAAACAGAACCCCAACTTTGCAATCATTCCCCTGGGTTTCGTCTGTACAGTGATGACCCACTGAAAACGTGTTTACTATGTACATGCTCATTTAGTTTTCCTCGTATAAAAAGCCAATCAACAATGGGAAAACATATGTTCCAATTTGCCACGATTTCTGATCCACCAGGGCACCTTGAGTACCATATTCTTTTCTTTGATTCATTTCTTTTCTTTCTTTGAGATAGAGGATTTTTGTGATACAAACAAGCTTTAGGCTTTTACACCGCCTTCCACCTTTCTGTTAGGTTGCACAAGGCCCACAACTCATCAGCCAGAATTGGGGTAGCACAAGGCACCTGGTCTCTCAAGACACTGTAGGCTGTATTTTGACAACAAGACATCACCTCATCTACAGCTTCAACATCTGCTCCACGCTGTAGAAGTCGATCAACAATATCACACAAACCATGGTGTGCTGCCAGCATCAAAGGTGTCCTGCCCGACTGTTATTGTAGCCACACAGCCAAAACAGCATCAATACAGTAGGCAGCCAATAGTGCATCTTGAACAACAGGTCTTTCGATTGCCACATATGACCTTTGACTCCTGCCATACGAGTCATGTACTGAAACTATCCAATCTGCTGCAGAAAACAGGATGGCAAAATAGCAAAGGCAATCACAGACCTTACTTGCTATTTGAGTGCAATGCATTTTACAATGCAGGCTAATCTCTAGTGCACAAAATGAACATTCTATACATTCCACTAATTGGGTACGTTGCGTGCCTACACATCTTGCTTGTGCAACAACACAGGAAGGTAACAGTCCCGGAGAAGGTTCATGCCGGCCGACATAAACAGATGTGCATGATCCACCCATTCTGTTTCCTTGCTTTACTTTTCTCAGTCCCAGTCAAGGCACATCCATTTACGGACGCAATATCCAATGGAGGGCTCACAGCTCCTGGCAGAGAGCCCACTGCACTACACACTAGTCACCAGTCTGCACTGCCAGGTCAGACACGTGCTGCAGTGCTGCTCACCCGCCCCTTTGTGTCCAGCTCCCGAGCCCCCGCCTCCAGCAGCGCAGAGAGGCAGTCCAGGTGTTGAGTGTCTGCAGCCATGTTCAGGGGCGTGCTGTTGTACTGCGCACAGCAGCAGACACCCATGACACATGTTTCCAATGGAGAAACTTAGGTCTATTTGGGCACTGAAGTTCCAGTCTGCAGGCACAATGAGGATAGCATGCCTGGGCCAGCAATGCAGTGCTTATCCGAAGCAACCCTCCATATGTCAAGTTCAACTTTGCTTTGTACATCAAATTGCATTGATTAAGAACAGTTTACATACATTGCCTTGATTGTCAGGCATTTTTTTCTCCACTTCTATTTGCTTGCCTTAGTTCTGAATGGCCTGCAAGCCACTCAGAGCAACAAAAACAACGCATCCATGCAAGCTAAGTGCTCCTTCCCATTCCTTTTCCTTATGGGATGCTGCAGTCGCCTTTTACTGTTTACTTGGTCAATAGACAGCCTGATGCGATCCAAGGCTAATTCGACAGATGCCCATGGCAGATCTTTTTCTGCATGCCAGGGACGCATGTTGAACATGCTGTTGCTAACTTCGAGCATGCTGTTGCTGTGGGATCTCACTCTTGTCAATGGAAGCAACAAAAGCACTGCAGAACAATCTTGCCACCTGGGGTTGCTACACAAACACCACATATATGAAATGCAATTGTACCAGAAGCCAGGCCAAGTAACTCCCAACTTGCTTTGGGCCTGTTGCCAGAGTACAAACTGGCAGAGGAATTCAAGAGGACCATCGTATAGATTCTGCACAGCAAAACTTGCATCACTTCAATTCCTGGAATTCCTGGAATTATCCTGTTATGTGGCTTCATCAGGCTTGTTGCTTCTTTTCACTCCACCTCAGATGGTGCAGATTCACATCGACACCTTTACATAAACACTAAAAACCGTCTCTTCACGGATCAACATAAACTGTCCTCTGGTGAAGCAGTGCCATTTGCAGCTCCCGGTACAAAATGAGCAACAGATCAGTCACACTGTTCAATGGCATGGCCTGCAAGTGTGGATACTGTAAACATGCTGACATTCTGATCGGTACGGAGTTGTCCTGATGTCATGTTGCTGCTTCCTCAGCATGGATTTCCAGCATTTTCTTTTCGCAGGATTCCTGGATGGCATAAAAATGTTAAGGAACAAGTATTGTGGATGAAATCATGCCCGTTACTGCCTTGCAGGGGCAACTCCTTCTTTTCCTTTGATTTTTTCAAATCTTCTTCTCGTTTTCGTTCATCAACACATTCAAGAACTGGTACTGCAATTGCAATGGTGCTTCCAACTGTTGGCCACCTTGTCTTTGGCATCCACACCAGCTCCAGCACGTAGAAGGGCAGTCACTGCTTCCACTGCACCTGCCACAGCGGCATAATGCAGCGGCGTCCTGCCGAACTGCACAGCATCAATTGTATTCAATACTTTGACTTTCACCAGGCAATGGCATGCCATCACAGTGACAGTAAGGCCAACAGCCTGCAGCTTATTTGCAAGATGCCACAGTTATGCTGGTGACTAATTCTGGGTTTGCAGCCCTTCATTCATAGCAGCACCCAGTGCACAAACCTTGCATGGTTCTTCCCAGCCATCCAATGAAGATCAAGATGGGCATGCAATTGGGCAACACATGAAATACAGCAAAACCGGGTGCATACTACACAATGGATTACACCAGCAGATTGAGACAATTCTATTCTGTGGATGTATGGTTGTCATCGTCTTCAAGCTGCAAAGGCAACCCTTTGTCGTTCTTTGATGCTTGTGTACAGCAAAGAAAACAGAACAACACAAACTTCCTCTGAACAGAATCACTAGGAAGAAAAGGGCCAAATAACGCATGTTCAAATGTGTACAAAATTTATGGGTTTGGGTTACTTTTGTGTTCTTAGCGTGCAGAGCATTGATAAATGCATTTCAAATGTGTTCGCAAAATGTGTTATTTGATCCTTTTTCTGCTATTGAATTTTGCTTTGCCTTTTGAACAGCCAACTTACAAAATCAGCACAAGCCAAGCATCAAATAGTACATCGCATCTGGAAGACAGATTCTGACAGGCTTGGAACCATCTGTTCTTGGCCAAACTGTCACAAGTGGTCACAATTTGGTGTGGTCAGCAAGATCCTAGGAATGTCAAAATCTCAGCCAGGTTGCATGGGTTAAGAGTGCATCCATGTCTACCTTTGCCGATGATTAGCTGGACAACCTTGCCTTTACTCATACAAAGTACCTTGTTGACTTTCAAAAAAATTCAATACAAGCGCGAAACAAACATGGGCCCATAGTATGGGACCCATGCACAAGGCGACATTGATTGCCTAACAGAGAAATCTGAATATTGCAAAAGTGATTGTGTTGGCAAATAATTGTGTTGGCAAGATGCACATTCTTCACAGGGCACAAGAATAAGAATGACCCCATGCACAGTTTCGAATCGCATTTGGAAACACTGCTTTCCTGCACAGAGTCACTCTTACATAACAGCTAATGAACAGACAACTATCTCAAACTGCAGGTTCTTGGCACATTCAAATCCGATTGGCACCGCTAAGGTAGAATGCGCAGCATATACCATTATGAGAGTTATTGGTTTGTGAACATCTTGCAATGCATGACTCCCACACAACAGACAGTGTTGATCCAATTGTGACCATATCTGACAATGAGGAATTCTGGGTACACGTGGCAGGCACCACATCTGCAAGACTGGTGCTTCTCCACTGCCAGGTTGCCCCACATGATGCTGTGAGGACCAATTTTCTACATTTCATCACATTGCATCACATTCAATTCTTGGGAATCGACAAAAGAGAACAGGGAAGCGCAATCCCCACTGTGAGGACTGCTGCGCAGTGGACCAGTATCACTGTGGCACTGAGAGAAACCAGTATGACTGCGTATGTGCAATGCTGTGGTCCACCTCCCACCCAGCAGTGAGAATCCTCACCTCATCACGTGCATCAAGATTGGCCCCAGCTCGGATGAGCTTCAGCAAGGATTCCACATCTTTGTTCTCAGCTGCATTGTGCAGGGGCGTCCTGCCATTCTGAAGCAAGCACACAGTGTCTGCTGTTTCGCCACTGCCCACATCCACATGCAAAAGCAGTGCAACAACAAATACAGCTGCACATGAACTATCAATGCAGGGCAGGTTCCACAACACAGCAGGTGGTAAACGATGCAAATGCACATGATTAAGTCCATATCAGCTCCACCATAGAGCATATCTGCCCAGAGCCAATTCCTGAATAACCCTTGCTTCTGAGCACAAAGTCAAGCCTTCATGTTGTAATGCCAGCATCCAAACTGCTGCACCAGCTCCTTGGGCTATTCAGTCCAGATTTACTTTCACCAACCACTCACAGAAAGGGCACCCCATCCATTAATCAGGGGACGGCAAACATTTGGCAGACCATGCCAAGCTGCAAGCTGTCACAGAAATTTGGAGAATTCGTTGGAACATGGCCAGAGCTGGCCTGCAACCTACAACACAATATCCCTCGCATCGATCTTGCACAGGGGCAGCTGCAGGTCGGTGCTTTGCATTGACATGCACTGCTGCCTTATCCGCACTTCCTATCGCATGTGCACTTTCAAATCACCTTGTCTACGGCATCCACGCTCTCGCCCTCCAACAGCTTGACGCCCATCAGGGCCTTCATCTGTGGGATCGTCCTTCCGCTGCCCTATAATTGCATCACACAGGCCAAAACTCAGCTGGGAAACAATGGGACAGGGCCAGGATAAACCAACACATCAATTTGACATCCACACTGTCAGTCAGGTGCCAAGCAACTCAACGCCAAATGAAAAAGCAGAGGTGACAGAATCAAAGGCAAAATGCTGCTCGTGGACATCCCCAAACACTGCAATGACTTGCCCATGAATGGAGCACACCACTGCATCAGTGAATCAGGCACACAATTCAAAGCGCATTCATTTCTACTGCATAAACAGGGAAAAACATCCAGCTGTGCCAGTTAGAACTGCATGCTGTTCACAACTGATGCGCTATCTGATGTGTGTCAGTGGCATCAGCACCTACCTTCATTGTCATATACAGGTATTGCTCCCGTGGCATCCACTCCACTCTCTCCTGGTGCTGCCAGATCCAGTCCCTGAGCGACCCATTCACAGACCCACACTGCAGGTACAACTTCCTGCCACAAATCTCCACAGGGGCCTGCAGCTGCCGTTCAAACTGCTCATCAGTGAGCGCATCATCCTTGAACCTGCACCAGCAATTCTTGTCAGGCTGCTGTAAACACATGAAATTCTAACACTGTTCCAGCTTTCTTGCCACCTAGCATTGTGTGATAGGCAATGCTCATGTTTTCATGGTCAGACAAACGTAAACAATGATTATGCCCTCCAGTGATGTCATTTCTGTGGTGGCGTGTGGTCGTTGTGTCTTGCCAAACCGAAAGATACCCGCAGGATGTGCAAATGATGCGCTGCAGGCCACATGTCAGACATTGCACCACACGAGGATGCTTTCAAGAAGCATTGCTTCAATCACCTGCACCAGAGCTCCTCCTCAGTGATTAATGGCAGACCCAAGGAGCTGACTTTCTGGAGGTGGCCCGACATGTGGGGCAGGCCATCCAGCTCGTTGCAGCCCTGCAGTTGCAGCACCTTCAATCGGGGCCACTGCTTGGATCCCTCTGGGAACGATTTCAACTTTTGGCACCCTTGTGCATCCAACAAAGTTAACATCCCTAGGGATGTTAAGGAAGCTGGCAGCTCTGTGATGCCCTCCATTCCAGAGACATTGAGGCTCCTAAGGCAAGAGAGGCCACTGAAGTCTGGGAGGGATTTTATGTTCTTGCAGCCAGCAAGGTTCAGGCACTCCAGATGAGACAGGGACCCCAACGTCAGCGGCAGTTCCCTCAGATTGGTGCAGAAGCTCAGGTCGAGCTTTCCCAAGTTCTGCAGGTTGCCGATGGAACGTGGAATAGATCCAAAGCCACAGCCCACCAGGTACAGGCAGGACAGTGTCGAGAGAGCCCCAATGCCACTCGGCAGGCTCCCCAGAGACTTGCACAATCTTGCCGACAGCATGACGAGACGATGGAGTGCAGAAATCCCAGCAGGCAGAGCACTGATCTTTGAGCAGCCATCAATCCTCAGAAGTTGTAGAGACTGCAACGTGCTTATGTCATCAGGCAAGGCTGCCATATCTGTGAAGCCCACATCCAAGACTCGCAGTTGGGAGCAGTCGATCACACACTGTGGCAGACTGGTCAAACCCGCCTCTCTCGCCACCAACGATGCCAAGGCTGGCAGCTGTATGCCATCCGGCCACGTTACTGAGGGGTCACTGCATGCCCACAGTTCAGTGACTGAGCTGGCCTTCCCCCGCAGCAGCTGCACCTTGGGACAGACGAGCCTGTCCCTCTCCCCTGGGTCCAACTGGCTCATGACCTGCCGCCCCATGTCCCTCACTGAGTCGTGCATGTAGCACGACATGCTCTCCACAGCACTGTCCTGAAACCCAATGAACGACATGGCGATGTCCTCTTCCCTTCGCTGGTACCCACACAGCCCTGACTGGTCAACAATGATCAGGGACCTGTCCACCAGCTCGCCAAACATGGCACAGCAATCGATCAACCCCTCATTAATGTCCTCGATGTAGTGGCCACCATCCTCAAAGACCCCGTACTTGAGCGCTGTCCAGTGCTCCACCAAGTCGGACACCTTGACATGGTAGTCTTCTGGGAAGCCCACAAGGCAAAGAAAGAAGCTCTTGAGGTCATCGTCGAGGTCCTCATAGCTGTGGCGCAGCCTGGCCATCAGCTGCTCCTCATGGTCGTCGCTCAACGACCCAGAGTTCCTCAGCTTCCTCAACCCGCTCTTCCACTCCTCAATCATCGAGTAGCCAGAAGCAAGGGAACCAATAACAGTGAGGGCAAGCGGGAGGCCCCCACATTCGGTTGCCATCTCCCATGCGCACCTTGCAAAGTTTGCCTTGTCGGCTGGCACTTCATCGGCATGAAACGCCCATTTGCAGAACAGCTGCATCGCCAGGTTCTCATCCAGCAGCCCAACGAAGTGCTGCTCGAAGTTTGCCCGCTTGGCGATCTTTGCGTTCCTTGTGGTGAACATGATGGTGCTGTGGGCATGCTCTCCAAGCGCAACCAGGTCCCGCAGATCTCCAAACTTCCAGATGTCATCCAAGACAAGGAGCACGCGGTGCTCGAGGTGTGCCAGGTGGGCAGACAGCCGCTCCCGTGCCTTGTTGGGATCGATGGACTCGGGCAAAGGTTCCGAGGGGAACATGATGTTCCAGATCTCACGCTGGCAGCCGGACAGGTCTGCGTCTCGACCCACCGTCACCCACCCCAAGACGTCAAATCTGGTCTGGACGTCTCTGTCATTGTACACAGCTTTCGCCAGAGTCGTCTTCCCTGGAGGCCAAAAGAGAAGGGGCACAGGTGGTTGCAATGTGCCAACTACATTCACCAGTAGACCATGGGCAGCCCATCAATGCAGCGGTCTCTTTGCTGAAATTATTATCTTTGGATGCAGCTCACAACATCTTTGGTCATCAAAATACAATCCACCCCAAAACCAGACTATAACTCGCACATGGCTTCAGCAATGGCCTTGCGGCATCAAAGTGCAGGCAGGACAGAAACAGGGCACCAAGGGGCAAAGAGGGCAACGGACAAGACCCTCCACAGATCATGAAGAACAAAACACGCATCCAGTGCATTCAAGCCCTCTGAGCTGAGTAGAAGCTTGCTGCGTTTGCTGGTGCGAAACTGAACACATTCTATGGCACTTGATTCCTGCAGTTTGCGGCCTCTATTGAACTGTCAGTCTTTGTGACATCAATGTAGTAACAGAACATTGGCTTCTAATGGGACTAGTTTTGCCTAGTTGTGCAAAGAAAGCTCATATCAAATACCCTTTCGCCGTGTTGTACATTACGTGGCCGAGTTCAAGGCATCAAGTATAATGGCAAACCAGGAGGCAATCCAACAATTTTCACGGTACACAATCTAATCGAGTTGACTCATGGCCCAGGGCACTATTCATTCCTTCAGATGGAATGATGGGGTAGATTAGAGGGCAACCTCTCCACAAACAGGCAGCATACCAGAGACTCTTTCCCATGCCTAAACGTGATAAAGAAATCTAAACTGGCACATAAGCAGACAATAACAACACAACGTGCATGTAATTTTTCCATGAATGTGAGAGAATCCAGAGGCACTGCATTGGCATACCCCGCTGTTGCAAGTCAGGCTAGAACTCACCAATTCCGCCCATGCCAACCAGCCCCACATTCTTGGTATTCACATTCAGGAGCAGCGCCTTGACCTGGCTGACTTTCTCTTCAATGCCCACAACAGCCTTGGGCATCTGCACCTGCCTGGTGACTGCAGCAGATATGCCCGCAGTGACGGCTGACCTCGCCTCCCCACCATTCAGCTCATTCATCAAACTCAGAATTTTCGAAAAGTAGCCCTTCAACTCTGTTTGACCCGCCCTGATAGAATCTCCCTGACTGATAATATCATCTGCAACGTCTCGATGGGCATTAATAAGTTCTTCCTGTGCCATCGCACTGTCAACACTCTGGAAGGCAACCAGGTCTGGCAAAGGCAACACAGCAGTCAGTGCTCAGCTCCACTGGGACCTTGAACAACAACACAAACTTTCGAAAATAAATGCAGCAGCCGATCATGACACAATGCAACAAATCAAAGACGAAGAACATTTACTGATGCTATGCTGGGATGTTGCTTGGGTAGGTGGTGCAAGGAGCAACAGCCCCTTGGGGAGTGAGCACATGCTGCAGATGCAAGCACGCCGCCACACTGCTTTGCTGTGCATAAGCAACAAAAGCTGATGCCCATAGGGCGCTGCTCAATTTGTGAATTGCCCCAGAGCCTCAGCAATAGCTTGCTTGGCAGTGAGGTGCCAACATATTCTCCCTTAAAAGAAATGCACATTCCGACATGTCCTGTGCCCAACCCTGGTGATACCCTTTTACCACCATCACCAGGATATCCTGTGTTCCATCACCAAAGTCTGGGTGCTCTCAGGCATGGAGCCAGGAAGCAAAGCTCTGCAAAGCGCCAATGAGCGTGCACAGTGCTTGACACAGCCCAACAGGATGGAAAGGCAGTGAATTATCAGACAATTCGCAGAATTGTGTAACTGGCAGTGCTTGGGGGGCAATTTGTACAACTTCTGCACCTTGTGCTCAGCACCACCAGCAACACAGTGACAACAGCAATCAATGCCTGTTCACATGCCAAGCCACGAACACCAAGCCACAAGGGATGAGCAGAAAACCAGTACCATGCATGCATGAATCCAGTTCCCTGGAGATCTGCTCAAAGTCATCTTTGATTGACCTCGCGTACACGAAGCGCTTCACCCTATTCATGCCCCCATAGTATTCGACGATGTCAAGAGCCCTCTTGAAAGCTGCATCCGCTCGATCCATCGCCATGGGCACATCCCTATCACACATGTTCCGCCTGAAGCGGTGGGCCAGATCCCCAGACAGAATCTTGACTCGTTTGGCCAGGGCGCCACACTTGTCCCTGTTGCTGCGGGCAGCCCCCGCAGCCAGCTGTATTCTTTCCACACATGACAGGATGCTGTCCACCAGCCCCACGATGTCCATGGCTGCTCCCACACAATGCCTTTTAGCTCAATAATGGCTAAGGGCTGTGGAACAAGGCGAAATGGAGTCCAGGGGACAGGATGTAAGTGTGGCTGCTATCACACAACACATATCAGCACTGCGATTGTGGGCCAAATTCCTTGTGTTGCATCTGCCTTTGTAGGACAAGTAGGAGCCCTTAGAATTTGCAGGCAGTGACAGGGTGCACACATTCAAACATGATGGTGATTGTTGGAAATGGTGGCATGGAACGCCATGCAGTTCAGGGGGAATGGCATTCAGAGTGTCATGGTGTAGCAGAACTTGTTCTAAATCGCGAAATAATCCACGTTTCCCAGCAAAGACAGCATGAACATCCATTTGGGCAGTGCAGGTACGAGAAAGCAGCAATATGAAGAAATCTTGTGTCCTTTTTATTGTTTTGTTCTCCAGTAACTCTCAATAAAATTCAATATATTCGTTTCTTGTGTTCATTTGTTGTATTCGTTTGATTTATTGTTTCCCCTAATCTGGTCGCTGTGCGTAATATGGCTGAGGATCTGGTAGACATTGTGGCCTGAAACCATGGGCAGAGTCATCTGGCCATCCCAGGGTCCATAGGCAATATGCAATTTGAGTTTAGCATCTGCTAGCACGCTGCCAGCACAGAGCAAGTTATGCTTTGGTTAATGTTTGAGTCAGCATGCATAAGACAGCTCCAACAATGCCAAAGAATTCTCAGGCACTACACTTGACATACATATATCAATTTGATGACAAAAGCAATTTGCCAGTGGCTGCACCACAAGGACAAACGCACGCATTCTGAGCAGAGTCATATCCATGCTGCACATGACATGTGTGGTACTGCAGGGTCCTATACTCACAATAAAATTCGTGAGAATTACAATGCATCGGCGCCCTCAGGCCTGTTAAGCTCTGTGGAGCGCAAGCTCCCACCATGCTGCTGTCCCAGTTAATTGCCATCTTGTAAGCTGTGCGATTGCTGTGAAGCTTATGAATCAACTAGGTACAGTTCGCTTGTTTGCACTTTCTGGTACCCTTACTTGAGTATGCTCCATGAAAGAAATATTCAAAAGAACTGCACGGGCATTTAACAAAGGACGAGCAGATATTGACAACAAGGCCTCAAGGCCAACAGAACCTTGCATGCAATGATCAGACCCACACAATCCAAAGACATCACCTACAAGCCAATTCCAGCCCCCAGATTCACAACTTGCCCCACCCACCCACCCATCTCCCCGCCAACCTCCAACACCCACCAAAAAGGAACGCACCCGTCAGTTCAGCGGACACCGACTTGTGGACACCGCCTCTATTTCGGCCGCGTCGAGCATCATTCAGCCACCATGCATTGAACCCGTGCACTCTCCCACGGTTGAGGACACTGGGCTGAAACAGACGGCGCAAAACCCTCAACAAGCGCATCGCATTACTTCAATCCGCCAGCCCGCAGATCCCCGGATCACTGATCGCCCGCAAGGAAAGGGCGACTGCCCCCCCAAAGCGATCGACACGCCGGGCGTCCGAGGCGGAACCATTGTAAACTGCCAGTGCCACAGCGATGAACAACGTTTGGATCAACAGCACTGCCCAACCAGTCCAGGTGCAGAGGCCGTCTGGCGACAATCAAGGAACGCGCGCCGCACAGCGGGCACCCCGCTCTTGACAGGCAGCCACTCTCGTGAGGCTCCGCCACATGCTTGACAATGGCCAACGCAGAAAGGTCCCGAATTGCGCTAAAGACGCCAAGCCATTTACCCCCACGTCGTCAGCGCAACCTCATCATCATTATTGCCAGCGCGCGGTCGGCGCCGGCGTTCGTGGCGGCACGCGTCGCGGGCGGGAGCAATCTGGAGCCGCAAATGGCTGGGGAGCGGCATTGGATGGCGGCGGCTTGCCCAGGCGCCTGGGACCGATGCCTCACCTGCGGCAGCGCCCCCGGTGGCGGCGGCTGCGAGGCTGGGCTTCGTGGCACCCCCAAGGCGCAGCCGGACCGGGGCGGACGCAAGCGCCTGGAGCGCATGGGGAGCTGGCCGTTGGTGTCAGCGGATTGGGTTGCGCAGCGGGCAATGTACTGCGAGGAAGAGTAGGGCTGTGGGGGCACAGGTGGTTGAAAAACGGGATGGACAGTGATTCAGGATGAAGGAGAGGTGGGCCCCACTGACCCACGTATTACTTGGGCGAATCTGCCTGACCTAAAGGACTCGCAGCTGCGAGGAAGGGAAACAATGGGGACACGCAATGAGGAGCCCTATCTTGATCAGAAGGCTGTGGGGCTCTGCCCCTGTGGTGCGACAGATGGAGTGGACGTCTCCACTTGAGGCAGCGCGACAAAGCGCGACACCGGGCGGGCGGGCACACTGACCCACAGCCGCAAAGTCGCATTGTCGTATTTTGAAACATTCCGAGAACGGGCGACGCATCCAGCGCGACAAGCTAAGCCAGGGCAGAAGGTCCCAGCGGGCAGGCATCCAGAGAAAAACCATCCCCTGCAGCTTGCACATCGCTGGGCCTCCTTCCTCTGCTCGACGACCTTGCACAACAATGCGTGTGAGTTGCAGCAAGCAAAAAAATGGGAAGCCATCTTACCTAATTTACCTGAACCTCCCGTTCTTCCTTCAAAATCCAATCCGGGCCCGTCACAGAGAAGGATTCTGACCAACACCCCAGCCTGCAGCCTCCGGCCCCCTCCTGCGACGAAGCACGGCTGACCACGGCTTCCTGGGCCACCGCCAAGCCAAACCACACAACCCATCCACCCCTGTCCTCCGCCATTTAACTGCACAGCTCAATTTAATCGCATTTCCTCAATTTAAAACAGCCCTCATCCATCACTGACGCAGAAGCACCCCGGAGGAGCAGCGCCCGCACCCATCCATCCTTTTCCTCCCCAACTTTAATTGCACAATGCCCCAATTCCGCAGCTTACAAAAGTCGGTGCTTCCCACCGCATCGCCATTCCCAATCCCATCGTCTTTGTCCCAGCACTAAAGACGAGCAACACCCCGCCCCAAGCCCTGCCGCGACCCGCCCGCCCGCCCCCGCAGCCACCCTTCCCTCTCCGATTTTATTTGCGCAACTCAATTTACATTGCAAGAAAATGTCATTAATTATTGCACGAAATTTCGCAATTAAGTATTGCCAGAAATTGCGGTTAATTAAATCGGGCAATTATTCCCCAACCGAAAATCGGGGCCCTCACCAACCCCCCTCGATTCCACCGCCGAGGCAGGAGCGGCCCAGGGGAGCAGCGCCCCAACCCAACCCACCCCACCCCTTCTTGGGCCACCCGCCCGCCCTTGAGGCCACCGCGGCGCCGCCATGCATCGGGCGCGGCCCCTCGCCGCTGCCCTGGCCCTCCTCCTGGCCGCATCCCTCCCCTTCCCGGCCACCTCCTCCAAGGTGCTGGCGATCCTGGCCAGCGACTCGATCAAGTCCAGCCACTCCCAGTTCTTCGACGGCCTGGCATCGGCGGGACTGGATGTCACCTTCAAACTCGCCAGCGATCCGGTCAAGCTGCGGGACTGGGATACGTGGCTGTACGACCATATGGTGATCTTCGCGCCGAGGGCCAAGGCGTTCGGGGAAGGGGTGGGCGTGCGGGACGTCCTTGACTTCATCGACGCGGGGCACGATCTCCTGCTGGCGGCGGGGCCGGATCAATCTTCCAGGGTCTCCGAGCTGGCCGCGGAGTGCGGCGTGGACCTCGACGCGCCGGGCACCATGGTCCACGATCACATCTCCTTCGCGGACTGCAAGCTGGAATCGCCAAAGGGGGCTTCCACGCTGGTAGTTGCATCGCATGCCGTGGATTCAGGGGCAATCTTGGGGAGGATGGCGGAGGGGGGGAGGCTCAAGGCACCCGTGGTATTCAGGGGAGTCGCGGCAACCGTTCCCAGGGAATCCGAGCTGGTGACGGTGGCCCTGACGGCATCTGGAACGGCCTACTCGCACGGGCCAGGGTTCCAGATGCCGGACCCGCCCCAGCTGATTGCCGGCCGGGAGGTGGCCCTGGCCAGCCTGATGCAGGCCAAGAACAACGCCCGAGTTGCGGTGCTGGGGTCGATGGACATGTTCAGCAACGAGTTTTTTGAGATGGCATTCAAGGTGTGGGGCAGCGGGGAGGGCCACAAGCAGCCGGGCAACAGGGAGTTCTGCCAGCGGGTGGCGGAGTGGACGTTCCAGAGGTCCGGGGTGCTGCGGGCGTCCGCGCCCAGGCACTGGGAGGCCGGCAGCAAGGACCAGCCCGCCACATACAGGGTGGACGCAGACATCCATTTTGAGATCGACATTGCGGAGTTCAAGGACGGGCAGTGGGGGCCGTTCGAGAGCGACCAGATCCAGGTGGAGTACGTGATGATGGACCCTTATATACGGAAGACACTGTCCCACGATGGGAATGGGACGTTTTATGCGGACTTCAAGGCCCCCGACGTGTATGGAGTGTTCAAGTTTGTGATCGACTACATGGGTACGGGGTACAGCTACCTGGCGATCAGCGAACAGGCACCCCTGAGGCCTTTCAGGCACGATGAGTACGAGAGATTCATACTGTCCGCCTACCCCTACTATGCGAGCTGCTTCTCCATGATGATCGGATTCTTCCTGCTGGGCTTCCTTTACTTGTACCACAAGTGAGCTGGAAGTATGGCAAGGGATCGGTGATGGTCCCAGGGAGGCACGGGTGGACAGCGCCGCATTGTGCCGCGTGGTGGGCTGCCCAAGGCCTGGTATGGCAGGGTTGGTTTCGGTGGTTAAAAATTGAAGTTGTCGACAGTTGCTTTACTGGTGCAGCTCTGGCATTTGCGCTGGCTCCGATTGAATGCAGGTTTACGATCCTGCTCAGGGTCGATGGCCGCGGGTCACTGGGCTGGATGGATGCACTTGCAAACAATGCATGCACATGTTCAGTGGCTGCCTTCACCCCTGCGCTTCTGATCGCCAAGTATGCGCTGATCGCTAAGTATGCTCTGCTTCCAGCGCCTGCCTTGTGGCACACGTGTAAGCGTGGGCCTGGGAGTGGTGCTTGGAGGCTGTGGTGGGGTGGTCATCGCAAGATGGCAGGTGGAGTCGATTGTAGGTGAGGCATGCCTGTGGATGGTAGGATTAGTGGCCCTTGTGGCAGGTGTGCAGTTGATGTGGCGGCATCAGTGTGGCTGCTGACATTGACAGTGCAATCTGTGTAGATCAGATAAGGGTGGCGAATGCTGAGAGGTAGAATGTGGAGTAGTTTTGTTTCAATATATTCATGAATGGAATGCAGCCCACCTCCCTGTGTGCCAACCACTTCGGAGTGCGGCAAACGTTGCCATGCACAAAGCTGTGTGGATGGCATTGCACTCCTTCCTGTGGCATCTCAGCCAGCTCGATTCCCTGTCCAAAATCTAGGAGACAATGTGACTCTGTGAATGCTTGTCTGCTGTGCCCTCCACAGCCCTTTGTCAGGAGGGAAGACTGCCAACAAAACAAACGTGGGGGTGAGCAAATGCTGGCTGCCCTGAGTGCATTTTTGTTGCTGCTGCCCAAGTTAATGTAGACCATAGACCCAGATGCATGCGGTAACAGGATAAATTGGATATTGTACACATTCCTGCCATTCCCACCTTGCTACAAGATCCCTTCCTATACTTGGGAAGCCATTTGACCCAACCCTTCGAGCCAGCCTGTGCTGTGGCAGTGCTCCAACAACTGCACACAGATGCCAATCCACCCTTGTGGAGTGGGGCCTCCGTTTTGTGAGGTGCTGCGATTGAGAAGGCAAAGCATGACCTGCTCCTTCACTGTCCTTCATCAGCAATACCATCGCTACAGCTGGCATCTCCGTCATGGTCAACGCTGTTTCTCTTCACTGCCGCTTTGCGCTGCCTTGTAGCACATTAGTATGGTCACAGGGCTGGGACCTCCGGTAATTTCTGGAAGCGAGCGTCTTCTAAATGCTCCCGAGCAATTCCTCTCGTTCAGTGGAACGGTTTGAGAAGTTACTGTTGGCATTGAGCAGAAGCACGTGTGTTTCAGCAGACCTTGCAAGATCATGCGAGAATTCCCATTCACGTTGTGTGAACCAAGCTTTGTGTATCTCCAAAGGGACAAGACTGCCTAAACATGACATTGGATTTCTACCTCAAAGGAAGATATCAGCATAAAAAACACAGAATACCCTGGACGAACAACATGAAAAGAAGCCAAAACATCAGCTCAACTTTCTCCCTAAGCGTTCCTATTATTTGACCAGATGTGCTGTGTGTCTCCTCAGCGCCTCGGGCCAGAACGCCTCCACGCCTTTAGCGAATCATGCGACCCTGCAGGCCATGCACATCGTCGAAACGTCGCAATCATGCGCGCAGTGGCGCTCTCCAAAACATCGTATTTCCCACATGTTGAGTCGGCTCAGCCAAAACGCGAGTTCCCAAAATCAGGCACTGCCGTTGTGTTTTAGCGCAGGTGTTGAGAGGACGTCTGACCAGGGATCGAACAGGGTACCTCTGATGGGATGCCCCGCTGCTTTGCCAGGGGCAAGGAAGAGGGCAGTCCAACCCATCAAGCACCATTCCACCCAACACAGTGAGACTGATGTGACGCAGTCATGACACACGGGCTGGATGGGTAGCCTGGCCATGAAGGGACATCGCTGTCCGGGACCTGTCTGTACTTGGGTTACCTCCAGCTCGTTCCCGCACGAGAATATATTAGTCCCTCTGTCTTTTCCGTGAAGATCCTTCTTCTTCTGCTGACAAGGCCAACGCCGGTGAGTGGGTTAGCGGTTGATTGTGTCCGAAACAAGAAGGGATCTTCACGGAAACGATAGAGCGACTAATTGGGCGTCTCCCCAGACTGCCTCCACCTGAGCAGCTTCCCCTGCTGGCGACCTATCACCGCGACCTTACCGACGTCGGCCCATCCCTACACGTCATGACCATGGTCCGGTGCCGCACGGTGCGCCACCGAGCCAAGACACCCACTGGGCCCGCCATGGGATCACCTCTCCATTCCCCCTATTATACGTAATTGACGTCAGTGAATGAAGTTAAACGGATATTGGCCGTTGGGAGGGAAGTTTACAGGAGGTGTTGGACTTGCTGGACTTGCTGGTACAAGTGCCGCCCCTTGGGATTAAGGGCGGCAGTGAGTGAGTCACACCTACCAAGAATTGGTCATGCTCACGTGGGACAGCCAGTGACCTAATGGCGCGGTGTGTAATCAGACTGGACACGTGGGGTGCCCACCGGTCTGTGAGTAACTTGTGTTGAAAGGTTACTCACAAGGGTTGTACCGGTCGGGGCATGGACAAAGAGGTGTGGCGAAAGGTTGCTCTATTCTTACTTTCGCTTCGCCTTGGCGTCAAGCGCTCTCCCGAGCGCCGCTCGGTTTCCTCGTAGCTATTGGAGGAAAGCTACCGATCGCGACTGTGTTCGCGATAGCAATCCTGTCCTCCCGCGGGGACAGAGTCCCGCCCCTTGATGGGCGACGCTGCCGATCCTCTTGAAGCTTTGCGCAACGAGATTGCTGTCCTCAAAGCCCAGCTTGGCGCCCCCCCTGTGGACCCGGAGGAGGCGCGGCGGGCTGCGGTGTTGGAGCGCGTTTCTGCACTTTGCCGCCGTTACACCGGCGACGGGAGCCAAGGCGTGTCCCATCACGCCCTTTCCTCTCCGGTGGAGCTCTCCCATTTCGCCAACAACCCGGTTCCTCGCCCTGCCACTGCCTCCCGTCCAGGCGAGCCCTACCCGATTGGCGACACCGCTTGGGGGCAGGCCTTGGCATCGGGCCTTGGCCCTGGCAGCGGGTTTTTCCAGGAGATCTGTACGTGGGCCCCCCTCACCTCCTACCTCTTTGACGCTACCGGGACGCTCTACCAGCTCTTAGCTGCGGCGGACTTTGACGCCGCCCATTGGAGTGCCCTCGTCAGCGTCGCGGAGTGCTTCCACGCCATTACCGACGGCGCTTTGTGCGCCCTTCACGTCCATTCTCTGCGGGCGCGCCACGGAGGCGCGGTGGCTCAAGCGTTTCAAACCCAACTTCGTCTTGAGGGCGCTCATCCGACGGCTGTTCCGGAGCGGGTCGTGGCGTTCGACAAGTCCATCGCTGACAAGCTGATTACTGCCCACCAGAAGCAAGCCGCGGCTGCCGCTGCCCATGGGTCCTCAAGTTCCGTTGGGTCTAGACCCCGCGGCCGCGGTCGCGGTCATGGCTCCCGCGGTGGCCGCTCATCTGGTGCTGGCCGTGGCCGTGGATTCCCTCCGGGGGGCGCGTCAGGCGCTTCCGATTGATGGCGCCTCGCTACACCATCCGCCGGCGCGCGACCGGCGCTTTGGGGTGGCGGCCGTCCCCCTCTCCTAGGGTTTCGGCCGCCCTGGTTTCCGTGCCCGACTCCCCGCCTGTTGACCTAACCGGGGACGTCGACCTACCCGACGTGGCGCCTCCCCTTCTGAACCCCCCAGCTTGTGTTACGGGTGCCTTCCGCAGAGACCTCCCCGGCCCGAGCGGCCCGCTAGTGGCGTTCTCTTCATCGTGCCCTCTCGATCAACCCCGAGGACTTTCCGTACATCAAGGTCCGCCGGGCGCTGGCGGCTTGGCGTTGGATCGGGGCCAATTTAACGATCCTTGCGTGGATCAACGAGGGCTTCCGCCTCCCCTTGCTCCGGGATCCCCCTCCCTTCGATGCGGGGAACTCGATCTTTGTGGGCGACGATCTTCGGGAATGGCAACGGACCTTGACCAAGTACCTCAAGCTCGGAGCGCTTCGCCCGGCGAGCCATTCGAGCCATGTGAGCCGGGCTTTCATGGTCCCCAAACCCGACGGAACCAAGCGCTTGATCGTGGACCTGCGCCCCTTGAATCGCCACCTAGCCGATCGCCGTCTCCGGATGGCCGGCTTGCGCGATCTGGCGTATGCCATCAAGCCGGGGGACTCGATGGTGGCTTGGGACATCGCCGATGCTTATTTTCACGTCGGGCTTCATCCCTCCCACGTGAAGTTCCGCACTATCCAAGTGAATGGGCTGTTGTGGGAGATCCCCGTCCTCCCGTTCGGGTTGAAGACCTCGCCCTACGTTTTCTCAAAACTGGCTGCAGCCCTTGTGCGTTTCTTTCGCGGCCCCCGCTTAGCCAGCGCCCGCCCGCTTCCCCGGTGGTGGCCGGGCCTCCTCAGCATTTGGCGGGCCAACAATCTGCTGTATGTCCTCCCGTACATCGACGACTTCCTCATGGTGATGGCCTCTTCTCGACGGCTCCAACTTCTCTCTCACGACTTCCAGACAGCCTTGCGGGAGATGGGGTTATCTCTCAAGGTCGCCAAGTCGACGTTGGCGCCCACCACTCGGATCAAGCAGCTGGGCATGGTGGTGGACTCGACAACTTGTTCCTTTTCGGCTCCGGCGGCCAAACTGGCCGAGATTCGCTGTGACGGCTTGACCCTTCTGAGCCTCCTTGCTCATCAAGCGAGGCTGGTCAAGGCCAAGTTGTTGGCCCGTTTTTTGGGCAAGATTGCATTCCTTGGCCTGGCCATCCGGCCCGCCAAGTTCTTCACGCGGCATCTTCATCTTGCCCTCTCCACCAAACGGACTTGGCGGTCGCTGGTGCGTCTTCCCCGCCCTGCCATCAAGGAACTCCGGTTCTGGACCGCCGTGCCCCTCCGCTTGATC